AAAAATATTAGCCCGTCGTGGTGGTGCATGCCTGTAGTCCCAGCTACTTGGGAGGCTGAGAGGTCACTTGAGCCCAGGAGTTTGAGGTTGCTGTGAGCTAGGCTGACACCACGGCACTCTAGCCCGGGCAACACAGTGAGACTCTGTCTCAAAAAAAAAAGGTGTGTTGTTAAAAAGTTAAGCCCTGTCCTCATGAGGGAGACAGGACATGAGTCAACAATTGATATAATGTTCTATCAAGCAGAGATATAAGTGCCAGGAAGAAACTAAAACAGGATAAGAGAACTGATGATGACTTCAGGGATGGGGCTCATTTTGACCATCAGGGGAGGCCTCCGAGGAGCCAACATTAGACAGAGAGTGAACGAAATGAGGAACCGAACCATGTGGATACCCAGAGTAAGAACGTTCTAGTTGGAGGGACCCACAAGTGAAAGGCCTTGAGGGAGGAACAAACTTATAAAGTGGCCCTGGTTGTCATATATAACAATGGCTCCTGATCACCTGCTCAGGGAGTTACAGAAGTCAGTGATGGGGCCAAGACTGGAACATGGATCTGCCTTTTCACTTGTATCCTTTCCTAGGGTGTGGATGCAGAGACAGGAAGGGAATGACTGGCGGCTGCAGTGAACTGCAGAACAAGTTCTGCATGAAGGGAACAGCTCCTACCACCCAGCATCTCACCTGATTAACCCTTACAAACAGCTATATGTGGTTGGTCCTATTATTATTCCCATTTTATAGATGAGGAAACTGAGGCTCAAAAAGGTTTAGTAAATTGTGCTGGGTCCCGAGGTGAGGATGTAGGGGAACCAAGGCTGGAACACAAGCCTCTGGACATTTCTAATCATAGCATTGCCCCACCTACCCTTCAGTGGGAGAAGTCACTTCATTCCTTAATCTTAAATGATCTTCCAAGCAAGGGAGTGGGCGGGGAAGAGTACAAGTTTCCTTTGTCCCATCCCTTTCAGAATGCATCTAAATCCTTCCTATGTATCTTCCAAAAAGAAGGTTACCAGGACACAGAGAAGCTGAGATTCAGAGTCTCATGGTGCAAACCAAGTTGTAGGGTCCCAGCCAGGATTATTTGCCTGGATCTTCTAAGAATCTCACAACAATACTGCATGCCTCAGCTTTATCCAAGCAACAGAAGGAGGTAGTGAAGGCGGAAGCAGCAGCAGCAGCAGCAGCAACAGCAAATCTGTCCCCAGTGCACTACAGTACTGTTTTGCTATGATGAAATACACATGGCATATGGCTGCAAAGTTACTATCTTAAGAGCAGATAGAAATGTTTTTTTTTTTTATGTGCCAGATTTCATTTCCCTTTCTGAAACAATTCTTGTAGTAAACAGAGGTTTTCTGATCTTGTTGAGATCGGGAAGATGGGAATTCCTTTACAATTTTAAAGTGAGACTATTGTCTTGCAGTTTCAGTCTATTGATGGTACAAATGTTTTTTAAACATGGAAGCTATTCCATGCTCCCTCTCACTCTCCCTTTGGAGGGCAGGGCAGGAAGGGGAGCTGTCGCCACCAGATGACCAACTCCATTCCAGTTACAGACCACCCTGGTGACAAGACCTCCAGGTGTTGTCCTGTGGCTGCCATGCCTTGGCAAATGGGTGGGGAAAAGGAAACGCTTGCGAGTGTGGGAGGCCACAGGGTAGAGGAGGCAAAGAAGGACCAGGAAGCGAGTAGAATGTGACTTTTAGGAGGAGAATTATTTTGAATCATGTCTCATGTGCTGACAACATAATGATCATTATTAGGGCCTCAGATATAACATGAAGCCCGCCCTGAAGTTAAATTTTCCCTTTCACGTAAGCGTGGCCTGTCAGCCCAGCGTAAGATGGTTCTGTGCCAACCTCCTCCACTATTGGGGGTTTGGAGTGTTCTAGCTGTTCCCTCCCAAATAAGGACTTTGCTTTTTGGGTAAATAAGGGCCCCATTCTTCTACTTTAGTCTTCGAAAGTCAACCTGAGAAACACTTTGTGTAAACGCCACAGATGTACTTGCAGTTTTCTACCCACTTCTAGTTTCAAGGTTGTTATCTGCAATCCTGCCTCCCAGTAACCCTCCTGGACACAGTGTGACCTCTTACAGAGGTGCAGATCTGTAGCCTGAACTATGCCCAGAGAGATTTTGTTTGGCTTTCATAGTGTTTTGAAGATTGGTTTTCATGTCAAAATCCTGTTTGCTGGCTTCTCTTGAAAAATCAGAAAACCTGGCCACACTGCGCCATATTCCCCTGTGACAAGTAGCTGGACCTGAAGAATAGCTGCTCCCTTTGCACAGAGCTTGTTCTCCAGTTCGCCATAGTCCCTACCACTCCCCACAATCCCCCATCTGTACCCTAAAAGAAAGTTCAAGCTCAAAGGCAGATATGGATACAGGAGTTCCAGTCTTGACTCCACCACTTACTTCCTGTGGCTCCTTGAACAGGTGTCTGCATCTCTCTAAGGGCTATTTTTAATCCTTAGGAAGAAGATAATACTGAGATGATGTATGCAGAAGCCTAGCATAGAGGAAGAAAGCCTAGCATAGAGGAAGCCCTGACTGAGGATTCGCTATGCATGTTCATTGGTATATAGTACTATTTCCTGTCAATGACACAGAGGAGACTTGAAGATGGTATACATATACAAATGGACACACCTATTGTAATGCAAGCTTCATATAAGGATTTTGTGGGGTTTTTTGGTTTTTTGTTTTTTTTGAGATAGGGTCTTGCTTTGTCACCTGAGCTGAAGTGCAGTAGCACAATCATAGCTCACTGCAGCCCAAACTCCTGGGCTCAGGTAATCTTCCCGCCTCAACCTCCCAGGTAGCTAGGACTACAGGTGTGCCACCATGCCTAGCTGATTTTTTTTTATTTTTTGTAGAGATGGGGTCTATGTTTCCCAGGCTGCTCTTGAACTCCTGACCTCATGCAATCCCCCTGCCTTGGCCTCTCAAAGTGCTAGGATCACAGGCATGAGCCACCACACCTGGCACATGGTAGGCACTCAGTAAATGTGTTGAATATGTGGATTTATTGTTTTGCTGACTTCTTATTCTTCTTACGTCATGTGCTAAGTTATTATGGGTCTGTTTTATAAATATAAATGCAAATAGACTTACAGGCTGATTATTTCTAATTTACATGTGCCAAATTTCTTTCCTTAATTCTTTAAAAGATTAAAAGCAGGGAGATGCTTCAGAGTTGATGCATGTTCATTGCCATAGTCAATTGAGTCACAGCCTGGGAAAAAATTATGTTCTCCTACAGGGGTGATTTTCTAAGATCACTGTCAGAAGGCCAGTCCACTTCAGGAATCAGTGCTTCAAAAACTCACAATTTAAAACACATACATGTATGTGCTGCCTCTGGAGAACTCAAGGTACTGTACCGGCACATTTAAAGCATTGTGTGCTCCCTGAAACCTCTTCCTCAGAAGTAATACTTCTAGAACAAAAGAGCACTTGGGTAAAACCAATGACAGGTTCTATGTCATGATCTCAATATGGCTCAACCTCTGAGTGGCAGAGTTTGCTCCCCATTAGATACAAGTTTCCTGGAAATATGAGAGAAGTTCAGCTGATTCCCAAGTGAATTCAAGCCTATTGGAATATTATATTACTGGAGCCCATAGGAGCTTTCACTAGGCTTGTGGTTTTAGCATTGGTGGCCTGTAGGGGTCAGCTATGTTTTTTGTTTGCTTAGCAGCCATTAATCCTATTTCTGGTAACTAAACTTCAATTTTCCTGGGAAAATTGGGAAGCCATTCCTTCCACACTGTCAATTGTGAGATTTGGGGGAAGCTGAGTTCAGCCCCAGCTCCGGAGAAGAACTGGATCTAGCCAATGAGTCACGTTCCCCGGCCGAAGCCACACAAAAAGCAATTTTTTGGCCTTCTAGATCCTAGAGTGTGGCCTTCTGACTGAATCCAAATTCCACAGAACAAATCCTTTGAATAAAGTGCCTGGGTCCAGCTATACCTCATCCACACCTGGATTTTTGGTTTCATGAATCAATACAATATCTCTCCCTCTTTCTTAAACTAATTTGAAATAGTGCTTCAGTACTTGACTAGCAAATTGAAATTTAAAAAGGTAGATCAGAAAAGAGGCACAAATCTGTGAGACCCACTGCTCAGGTGAAAATCAAAACCTTGTGGCCAGAAACAAGGGATGACTTTGCCTCTTTCTCCTTCACATGTACCCCAAATTCCATTAGAGCGGTGGGCTAGGAAACAGAAGTGTAATTTTTTTTCTCATTTCTTTCATACCCCTACATGAAGGAAGACTCTGAGCATTCTTTCCTGGGTTTTGTGCATGTGCTGGCCACCGTTCATTGGCATTCTTTTCCCATTTGTCCCTTTGTCTGCTCCCATGAGGGGTAGGGGGAGCAGACATTGAAATTAGCCAGAGGCCAGGTCTTGGTGGACTTCTCTAGTGCTTTAAAACTCTCCATACTTGACTGAAGGGAATTCTGCTAGCATTTGCCATTGAGCCTGTAAGATCCAAAGAGATGTTGTTCAATTTGTGCAGCATTTGAAGACATTCATCTAATAGAATCACTGAGGGCCTGTGCATACCAGGCTCCAGCTTCCACACACACTCACCAGCCAGTGGACAGGCCTTCTCAGTTCCAGGAGTTGCCTCTAGTCCTTGGTCAGCCTTTCTTTACCCTTTGGGGCTGCACCTTTGCCATGGCCCTACCTTCCCTTCCAACCCAGCCTGAATACTGCTGTCAAATGATCCTTCACAAAACACTGCACTCCATTCCCATTTCCCACTTCAAGGAACTTCATGATTCCCTGTGGTTTTCATATTGAATCTATCCTCTTCTGCTCAGCCCTTAATAAAACTAATTATAAAAGCTAACAGTCTGGAGCACTTATAATGTGCCACGCACATAGGTTTCGTAGGTTTCTCAGTTAATCCTCAAAATGACACTATACTGACATGAATCTTATCCCTATTTTTTTAGATGAGGAAACTAATGTACAAAGAGGTTAAGAACTCATTCAAGGTCACTCAATAAGTGAAGGAGTCTGAATGCCATCTTGTCACTCTGGATCCAGACCCCATGCTCCTACCAGAAGATTCTTCCATCTTAAAAGCTCTTCCATAGTCTGCTCCGTTTCTATGTTATGTCTCACAGCTCTCCAATTTCTATAGACTAGTTAGGCTGGTCTTAACTAAACCAGCCTACCATTCTCTAATTTCATTGTCTTTGCTTATATATAATCATTCAATCATTCATTCATTCATCCAACAAAGCACCCATCAGGTTGATTATACTGTATGCCAATAATTTCATTGTTATTTGCTCATTTATTCATTCATCAATTTGTCCAGCAAATATTTACTGAGCCCTTGTCCTAGGTGTTCAGGTCGTCCCCCTGACCCAGAATGCTCTCTTCACCTACCACTTCTCCAAATCCTGCGTATCCTTCAAGGCTTTGCTCCAGACACTTTCATGCATCCTCCCCCCCTTAGCTGATGCAGCTGGCATGGCCCCCGTTTCCATGAACACTGAGGGCAAAGAAGGGCATGACATAGTCTAGCATTCAATTTCACAGCAGCCTGGCAAGGTCTCATGCTGTCTCATCTTCACATCAGGAGTCAGCTGCCTGGAGGACCAAGCCAGGGTACTTGCTTCTTTCATATCCATCAGTGCTGAGTGCACTCTGGGCATCCAAGAGGTATTCTTTCATCCAACTGTTGAGCGAACAAATGGGATCCAATGAAAACATAACAGTTTTTTTAAATGGTCATTTAAAAACTATTGTGAATCCTGTAATCCTAGCACTCTGGGAGGCCGAGGTGGGCGGATTGCTCGAGGTCAGGAGTTCGAAACCAGCCTGAGCAAGAGTGAGACCCCATCTCTACTATAAATAGAAATTAATTGGTCAACTAATATATATAGAAAAAAATTAGCCGGGCATGGCGGCGCATGCCTGTAGTCCCAGCTACTCGGGAGGCTGAGGCAGGAGGATTGCTTGAGCCCAGGAGTTTGAGGTTGCTGTGAGCTAGGCTGATGCCACGGCACTCACTCTAGCCTGTGCAACAAAGCGAGACTCTGTCTCAAAAAAAAAAAAAAAACTATTGTAAATCTGCATTCTCTTTCTTTACCCTGGAATCTCCTAAAGTTTATGACAGCCTTGTGAGGTAGTTATTATTATCCCCGTTTTACAGATAAAGATGGGGATGGATGCAGTGGCGCATGCCTGTAATCCCAGCACTCTGGGAGGCTGAGGCAGGAGGATGGCTTGGGCCCATGAGTTGGAGGTTGCAGTGAGCTATGATATAGCCATTGCACTCTAACATGGGCAACAAAGCAAGACCCTATCTCAAAAGAAAGAAGGTGAGGCTTAAAGAAGGTTAGTAACTTGCCCAAGTTCATTCACAAAACAGATAAATCTCAGAGCACAGTCTCCCAATCACTTGACCATGCTGCCTCTATAAACCTTGGCTGATTCACCTGAATGAACAAATATTGAAAACCCATTGCTACTTCTATGGCTAATGGCCTTTCACGGACAATATGCTTTGTCAGGGCCTTGCACCCAGACATTTTTCTCTATTTCCAGGAATGGAAACTCATTGCTGTTGGGAAGAAATGAAACTCCAGCCACTTCTACATCTGGCCCACTGCTTAGTCCTGGGACTTGAGGTCAAAATCCTAGAGAAAAGCCATGTGGGACATGCTTCCTGGCCACATCACTGTACCTGGATGCTGCCAGCAACACTACTTGAGTTTTTTTTTTTGTTTTGTTTTGTTTTTTTGAGACAGAGTCTCGCTTTGCCCAAGGTAGAGTGAGTGCCATGGCGTCAGCCTAGCTCACAGCAACCTCAAACTCCTGGGCTCAAGCAATCCTCCTGCCTCAGCCTCCCTAGTAGCTGGGACTACAGGCATGTGCCACCATGCCCAGCCAATTTTTTCTATATATATATATATATATATACATATGAGTTGGCCAATTAATTTCTTTCTATTTATAGTAGAGATGGGGTCTCGCTCTTGCTCAGGCTGGTTTCGAACTCCTGACCTTGAGCAATCCACCCGCCTCGGCCTCCAGAGTGCTAGGATTACAGGCGTGAGCCACCTCGCCCGGCCCACTACTTGAGTTTTTACCCACAGGATAACACTCCTTCCTCAGCACGGAGGTTGGGATGGGGGTGAGAAATGTTCTGTTTTTCCTTTGACAATTACACCCTTACCCTACTAACTCAGCAAAAGGGGAGTGGACCTTATTGAAAATATGTCCTAGCATCTTTTCTCTCCGGCCCCCAAATGTCCCAGCTGCCATATTCAGCCGTCGTGAGGCACTTCCTTCCCTTCCAAAGCAATTACCCCTGCCTTCCACCCCATCCTCACCTTCCCCTGCCCAGATTAGAGGCATGGAGGCATGTACCAAGGACCTGGAAAACTTTCTAGCCAAAAAGCCTTATTGTCTTGGTGAGTACCGTCAGAGTGTAGTTATGGATGTGCCTATTTCTGCTCTTCCCTCTGCATCAGTGCTCTGAAAAGGGTAGCTCCTGCCCCGTGATGGTCCAAAGATAGTTTTGGGTTATGCATAGATGACCTTCACTCTTCAGAGACTAACAGACAATGCTGCTCTTCTCCACCAACCTCTGAAGGACACCACCTACTGTCAGCTGCACCAGATTCTCCCCACCTGCTGCTTCTTTCCCCTCAGTCTTTCCTTTTATAGCCTCTTAGCCGCCCTTCCTGGGTCTCTCTTTACCCTGTCCTCCCTTTCTGCAACGCCTTCTCAAACCACTGCCCACTTCTGCTTTCTTTCCAATCCTCCATTCTCTCTGCTCCTACCATTTTCCTCCTCCACTGGATCCCTGTAACCTCATTCTGGCCCAACTCCCCCCACCCCTGAGCCCCTCCCCTAGATCGACCAAATGCCCCAGGTCTGGCTGCTTCTGTCCTGTTCCCACCATCTTCCTGCCCACTCTTTTCTGCTCCTTGGGACCTAAGCTTACTTTTTCAATCTCTTCTCTCCTATTAGCACAGCTCTGTCTGTCTAGAGTCATGATTCTTTACCTTTCGCAACTGTCTTCTTTCCCATTGACATGCTGGTTTCTTCAAAAAATAAATATACAGAAGCAATAAAGTGCCACTTAAAACAATTAAGTAAATAATAAACAAGACAAATGGTGCTTGAATATGAGATATACTACCCACCCACTCTGGTCTTCAAGGACCATGTCTCAATCAAGCTGGCATTGCTCACTGCCTGACACCAAAACTTCTGGGTCTAAGATTCCATATTCTGAGAGAGAAGGATACCATATATGAAACCTTCATGGCAGTGCAGAGATTAAGAGAGTAAAACTTAAATGAAAATCGGTCAGCGAGAAGGGATGAGATAAGCAGTGGCTCTCAAACTGAGACCTCCATGGGGTGTTAAATTTTCATTTTGAAGCTGATAGACTATTTGGGGAGACTGGAGAGTCACAAAGGGGTAGGTAGGCATACCATTATAGCAAGCCAGGGGAGGAATACGGAGAGAAAATCAATTTCTAAAATGAAAAATAAAGTTTTTGCAACTAGGACTTGCAAGCTTGTTCTAGGCCTTGTTCTGGGAGCTTTTCAGTGATTTCTCTTCCTGTTGGAATAGGAGATGAAGAACTTCAGGGCAGATGTCAGCCTGGGCCTCTCTCATTCCCCCACGGGACTGAATGTAGTCTTATCACGCTCTTAAGTGCTCTTAAGTACTGGGTGCACTACTTGCTGCCAGGTTTATGGGGGAAAGTTGCCAGAGAGAGCAATCCAGTTATCAGCTTCAGCCCCAGGCCTCCCAGGTACAGCTCGGGGAGTAAGACTTCAAAACTAGCTGGGTCTAGACCGAAAGTCACGAGGAAAGAGCAGCTTGCAGGAAACCCCGCGTGCCACCCCCTGAGCAGGGTCCCGCAGGAACCCTGGCCTTTCCCAGGCGCCCGCACTAGCGGGAATCTGTCGGAGTCTCAGAACCAATCCACCCCGAGGAGGGTGCCTATGGAAGCCGCAAGTATCTGTCGCACTCGGAGACGCCAGATCCCAACGTCACGTCCCCGCGGCGCCGCGGCGCCCACCGCTGCAGAGCGCTAGGGGCAGAGCCCAGAGGCCCAGAGGCTGGGGGCGGGGCTTGTGCTGAGACACCGCCCCTCGCCTCGCCCCGCCCCGCGCGCGTTGCCAGGGTGATCAGGTGACTCCGGGCTCGCGGCGCCCGGGACGGCTGTTACGTCAGGCGCCCGGCGGCTCCTCACTCGCTCCGAGGCAGGTGCGGCGAGTGTAGCGCGGCGTCCTCAGTTCCCGGCCCCACCACTATCCAGGCGGTTCGTGGAGAGGTGAGGTGCGGCGGACCCGGGCCGAGCCACGCTGGGGTCGGGGGAGGGGTAGGGCGGGTCCCGGGCCCCCGAGCTCCCCAAAGAGCGCCCTGAGAACCGGCGGGGGCGCGCGCAGCCCCGGGGAGGGGCCGGCAGCCAGGGAACCGGCTGCAGCCCTCCCGGAGCCCTCCCGGCGCCCCGCGGGTGCTCGCGGGTTCCCCGTCCTCGCGCCGGCCGCCCGGCTTCTCAGGGTGCACTCAGGCGCCCCTCCGCGTTTCTGCGGTTCTTGCCTCACTAGGAGTCGGCGGGCTCGGAGCGGGGCTCGCCACACCCCGTCCCGCAGGACGTCCGCGGAGGCTCCTGGATTTCTTCGCTTTGGGCTGCGATTTCTGAGTCGCTGCTGTGCGTGCTCCGAGCTGGGCCAGCCGGCGGCTGGAGGCCAGGCGGGCGCCCCGCGGGTGGGAGCTGGGCTCCGGGGTGCACTGGAAGTAGGTGGGGGACGCCCAGCCGGCGCTCGGGGCCAGGGGTAATCGGAGAAGGTGTTGCGGGAGAAAAGGAATCCTGGCTGGTTTTGAGAGCGGCGGCTTGGGATCGGAGCAGACCTGTTGGGGACGGTGAAATCTGAGCGGTGTCTTGAGGGGTGGGGACTAATCTGGTAGCCGAGGGTGTTGGAAGAGTAGGGGGAAGGGAAAAGGGGACCTCCGGGAAAGGAGACCGTGGGCCTTAGCTGGAGGTAAAGGAAAAACGATTTCGTGATTAACTGGGCTGCGTGCTGGGGCTGTTTTGGGAAATAAAGTTTGGAGACTTAGGTTAGGGCTGTTTAGGAAAAAACTCTTGAGTGCCCAGCTAAGGCTTTGTGTGTTGTGGGGAGCCATTGAAATGTCGGCTAGATTGGGGTACAAGGGGAACACTATGACGGGGGGGGGGACACTGAGGAAGTTGTGGCACTCGGGAAAAGAGGAGACAACACCGTGGTCTCGTGGGAGTCCTCAAACCCTGCTTATGAGATAGGGGCGCAGGCATGCAGTTGCCTTAACACCGCAGCCATTGTTAACAGATTTAAAATTTTTTTAAATTAACAGATAATGATTGTGTATGTTTATAGGGTACAATGAGATGCTTCGGTACATGTAAACTTTGTGGAATAATCATATTAGCTTTTTTTTTTTTTTTTTCCTTAAGCGAGAGGACACACCCAACAGCAGCTGATTTTCTTGTATCTCATTTGACCGGCTTTAATGACTGGATGAGAGCTCTTCTCCGTTCAGTAACGGAGGTTATAAGGTCCACAGCACTTTGCCCTTCCAAGTGTCTTACAAAGACTAGTTATCTCTACGTGAAATCCAAACCCCCAGATGACTGGTAGGAGATTTAATAAGGGGAAGCTATTAAAGGAGAATCGCACCCAAAACATGAACACGGGGCATTGGGTAAACTAAAAGGAATTCCATACTCTTTGTTAATTGTGGAACAGAGATCTCAGGCCCAGAGTCCTTTCCTACCAGCTTCTCAGTGTAAGGCTGCTTAAGTGTTAATTGGCCATTTTGTCCTAATTTCCTGAGAAACAGGAAAAAGATATTTTGATTATATGAAGCAGAATGGTTTGGTGATTTATGATTTTTCCCAGCCCTGAAATTTATTGATGCTGTGACCAGAAAAAGTACAGTTGTTCATTTTATGTTGAAACTTATCAGCTTGTTTTTCTGGGACAAAGCGAAATGGCTAAACCTTGCTGCCAGTTTGTTATTTGTTTGACTCCAGAAAACAGAATTGGACCTCCAGGGATTTTGTACAGTAAAAGGCAGTTTAGGGAATTGCTAAGGAAAGTAGCCACAGCTGGTTTGTGTCTAAACGTAGAAACCAGGGTAGCACTCAAGGGAGACAAATCCAGAGTGGTGGGCCTGGGGAAAGGGAACTTCCAGTCAGATCAGTGAAGTCATTCTCTGTAAAAGAAGCCCCACAGTGTGTAAAAGGCCAGCATATTTTCCTCTCCTGTGTTCCTGTTCATTGGTAGGGATTATGATAGTGATTTTTAAAGGGCATTGTAGGAGCCTCTTAGTATTAAAAATCACTGAAAATTAGAGGCTGGGTGAGGTGGCTTATGCCTGTAATCCTAGCACTTTGGGAGGTCAGGAGTTTGAGACCAGCCTGGGCAAGAACAAAACCCCCGTTTCGACAAAAAATAGAAAAATTAGACCAGCCTGAGCAAAAGTGAGACCCTGCTCTACGAAAAATAGAAAAATTAGCTGGGGACTGTGGTGTGCACATGTCGTCCCAGCTACTCTTGAGGCCAAGACAGGAGTTTGAGGTTGCAGTGAGCTATGATGACGCTGTTGCACTCTAGCCCAGGCAACAGGGAGAGACCCTAAGAAAAAAATAAACAACAAAACAAAAAAACAGTCACTGGAAATTAGATGTCTTGGACACATTAAAAAATTGTTATCTATTTTATAAATCTCTTTGATAATATTTGAACTGGCCAACTAATTATACTTTGGAAAGAAACAGTCCACCTCCTCCTCCCTCAAGCAAAATAACTATGTGCTGTCAGGGCAGTTAAGTAGGCCAAGAGTTTTTGGAAATTTTCCGCTTTCATTCACCCCTGCCACCCCCACAAGTTTTCCCATTGGTAGAGAACTTAAGACTTTATTGTCAGGAAAAAAATGTTAGTGTGTTTCCCTAAATACAAGCTACAATAAACACCAAGACTGGCCTTCAACAGAAATGCTCTTGCTTAAGGAGATCTGGGCCAAGGTGAGAGGCAGGGCTAGGGGTATGAGCTGGAGAGTTCTGAGCTCTTCACCTTTGTCACACAACTCACGGAAGGGAGCTCCTTTCTTGGCATGGAAACATTCCTTGACCTTGAAACAAATAATGGCCAGTACCCCTTTCACAGAGGTACCAAGGAGAATTAATGAGAGGCTTATATGAAATTTGAGCTCCTCCAAAGCAGAATATTTTAATTCTTGGATGAATGGTTTATTTTGAGATATCGTGAAATAAAGAGGTAGAAGTTCTAAATTTCTGTAAAAGCCTTATTCAAACTCTAAGGCCTTCTTGCTGTTTTTTTGTTTTGTTTTTTTCCCTAGAGTATAGGGGCTTGGTTTACCAGGCAGCCTATAATCCAGATCTGGAGGCCTGGGCCTGAGTCCGTGTTTGCATTTCATATGTAAATAAGCTCAGATTGTTCACTACCCTTTTTTCTTTTACTCTCTTGTTAACCAGGTGTTGGCTCTTTTAGAGTGCCTGGAGTTAACCAGTAACAGGGTAGGCTGTGGAGCTGGCACCTCTTGGTCTTGCATCCTTTTAACAGCAAGAGTATTATCAGAAAGTGTCACACCCCTAAACAGAGTTAGTTATTAACTCTTCTGTTAGAGACAGAAGTGGATAATATTGTTTACTAAATTGGATGAGGAGTGAAATAGTCATCTTTTGAAATTCCCCTATCCTAGATCATGACACAAGTCCTGTCTCTCAGTCTAGTTAGGGATTCGAGTGCTTGCTGATACGCCCAGGAACACTACTGAACTACAACATCCATCTTTTAGACTTCTGACATTTTATTGGCCGGATATAGCTTTCTCACAGAAAGGAAATTATGACAAAAAAGGCTTCCTGTTTTCCTTAGGCTGAGCTGAGTGCTGTGTTGCAGGCCTCCAAGCTCCCCACGCTTGACCAAGGCTACTAATTGGCTTGGCTGTAAAATGGAGTCAGCAATTAAAAAGGAGCGGTATAGAAGCAAGGGAATTGAACATGAGTTGACCCTCCAGCCTCATAACCAAAAAGGTTCACACCACTTTGGGCACTATACAAAGGGCTCTTGAAAAGGAAATGAGGTTGGAATGATGGCTGTAGTTTTCAGGAGACATATGTAGGATATTAGCACTGATGTAGGCTTCAAAGCTGGTTCTGGGAAACTAGATGAGTCCTCACATCTAAAGCAAGGTGGACAGATGGTTTGAGTCCAGTTTCTGTGGGAGCAAGCTTGTGGTATGACTTGGCCAAAAACAATGGATGATTTATATTTTTATAAACTGTTTCTGTTAAATGGTTTAAGGGAGTATTAATAGTCATGGTGGGAGGAGTGTTTGATCTGGCTGAATTTAATCATTCGGGAGTAGTGCTTTCCTTATTCAGAGGCGCCTATCTCTAGTTCCCTGATGATAATGTGGTAAAGAATCATTAGCCAGTCTCAAGAACATTGGCTCAGAAAATACATCATAACTGAAAAGTATCTAGATATGGTCATTGTTACGTTCACGGGGAACAGTTGAACCACAAAGGTATTTGGGGAGAGGAAGACCTTAGAAACGGTGTTAGAGTCTTGCCACTTTGAATTTCTAATGCTGCACCTAGTATTTTACCAGTCAGCTTTCAGTATCAGGACCTTGGGCAAGATCAGCTGGGGAGAATATGTGTGAAGAGTGGGACATTTATATGAATGTGCCTTATCATTAAGCCAAATGCTTAGTGTTTTCCTGCTGCCACTAGCTTCTAGGACACTCCAGATTCTGCCTTCTTCCCTGCCTAGCCTTTCCTCCCCAACAATACCTTCTATAAAGCCAATCTAATCTCTGATCCCAGTTTCTGCATCCTTCTGTCTTTGCTGAACTAATTCTTGGTGATCTTAAATGTCTGGTGGTGGCTATATGAGAAATTCCAGTGAGAGGTAGTTGTATTTAAAGTGAGGGTCTTATAAGTGGAAACTTCAGTGTTTTTCACACTTCATTTGTTTTCCCCTGTGTGATTTTTGTCTTATCTCTATGCCATCTGTACTATTAACATTTTTCTTTAAGTTGATCCATTTTTAAAACCCTAAAATTTATTTGAAAGGGAAACTATCATTGCCTTACCTTAAATTGTAAAACAACTATATCACCTGCCACAAATAAAAGGTAAATACAGGCCAGGTGTGGTGGCTCATGCCTCCTAACACTCTGGGAAGCCGAGGTGGGAGGATTGCTCAAGGTCAGGAGTTTGAAACCAACCTGAGCAAGAGTGAGACCCTGTCTTTACTAAAA